AGAGGCTGCTCCCCGGGGAGCCCTCCGGGCTGGGGCTCCCTCCCACGGGTCCTGGGGTGGGGAGTGGACTCGTCCCATGGGCGGCCATCCCCGACTGCTGGCTTCCAGCCTACAGGGAGGCCCAGGGTTTCTCAAGGGCTGGAAACTACCCCAGCCACACCCTGCCACCCAGACGCCTAGCACGGGGCAGGGTGGACAGCCGGCACCCATCACCCCACGGCGGGATGGCTGGCGCATGCTGGTGGGGGCGGGGACCCTCACCTGGTCTGTAGTTGGTCGGAGGCTCAGGCGGCCCAAGGAAACTCCAGGAGGGGCCTGCACCCAGTGGGGGGAGATGGTGGGGGCTGGATGAGGAGGGCCCAGCCATGTCCCCTTGCTGGGGTCAGCGCCCTCCCATGTTGGGACCGTGAGCTGGGGTGGGGCCGGGGCCTGTGCTGTCCTCCCAGGTACGGACCTCCCACTCGGGGTTTGAGCAGTTGTGGACTGGTGGGTCCCTCAGACGGTTCTCCCTCTCCAGATCCCCCCGTGGGACTGACCCTCCCGCCTCAGGCCCTGCCCTGCAGCCCAGCCTCATGTCCTTCTTCCTCCCAGAACTGCCACCAGGAAGGGGAGGGTGTTGGTGGGCACCCACCTGGGAGCCCTGGGCTCGACCCACCCCGCCTGCCCTCTCCTGCTCACCTCCCAGGTTCCTGTCCTGCCTGGAGCTCCCCAGCATGCCCCAGGGCCTTGGCACAAGCTGTCCTCCCTGCACAGCAGCCATGCTGACTCCCCACTGGAGCATCTTCCCTGAGCTCCCTACAGTTCACGGTCCTGTCCACCATAATCCCTGCAGGGCCACCTCGCCCTCATGTTTACCCATCTCCCCCGTGAGAGCAGAACCTTGTCCTGTCTCCTGCTGTGAGTCCCTGCACACAGCAGGTGCTCAATGAATACTTGTTGGATGCTGAGTTGCATCCTTAGGCCTCCCAGGTGGAGCTGGTGGTGCCCTTGTCCTGTCCTGCTGCTGGCAGGTGGCCACAAGGAGGGCAGGCGGGGGGACATGGGCCTCCAAGACCAGCCACACGAGCCCTTCCCTCCCCTCCCCAACACGCAAATGCTGACGGGCAAGCTGGCAGGTTAATATGTAGTCGAAGCCGGGCTCGGTGGCTCAGCCTGTAATCCCGTGCCTTGGGAGGCTGAGGTGAGTGGATTGCCTGAGCCCACGGGTTCGAGACCTGCCCAGGCAACTTGGTGAGACCTCATCTCTGCAATAAGTCAAAAAATGAGCCGGGCGTGGTAGCGCGCACCTGTAGTTCCAGCTGCTTGGAAGGCTGAGGTGGAAGGATCGCCGGAGCCCAGCAGGTCGAGGCTGCGGTGGCCGGGAGCGGCCACTGCACTCCAGTCTGGGCGACAGAGTGAGATTCCAACTCAAAAAAAAAAAATGTAGTCGAGACTGAACCAGGATGGGAACAGAACAACTGACATACAACCAGGAGAAAGGCATCCAACAGGACTGAGGACAGCATGGCCGGGTGGAGGGGGACAGGTGTAGACAGAAAGGGAACAGGTGTAGACAGAAGAGACATGTCATGAGAAAACAGACGCTTCACCCGAAAACACAAATGTAATTCCAGCACTGGGAGTCCAAGGTGGGCGGATCACTTGAGGCTAGGAGTTTGAGACCAACCTGGGCAACATAACAATTTTCCATCTCTACAAAAAAGTAAAAACATTAGCTGGGTGTGGTGGCTTTTGTGTGTCATCCCAGCTATTTGGGAGGCTGAGGTGAGAGGATCGCTTGATTCAGCCTGGGCAACATAGCGAGTCCCCCCATCTCTAAAAAATACAAAACAAAAATGTGTACAGCAAAATCTCAGAATGGGCAGGGAGAATTGACAAGTGTCCATCTGGGGTGCTAGACTGAGAGGGACAGCTGGGGGGGGCATCCCGACTGAGTAGCCCCTTGGCAGTGCCTGGCAGCCAAAGGGCACCTCACCCTGGCCGTGCCCAGGACCCCGTCACTCTGGTGGCCCCATCTGCAGGGGTGAAACGTGGATGGCATGGCAGGAGCTTGTGGAAGGGGGGTCCCGGTGGCCTCTGCCACGCCCCCTGACCCGTCTCCCCCCCACAGTTCTCATCACCGGGGGCATCGTGGCCACAGCCGGGCGCTTCACCCAGTGGTACTTTGGTGCCTACTCCATGTATCCTTCCTCCAGGCCGGGCAGGGTGTGGTGGGGCTGAGGGGCTGGGGCAGTCACCGCACTTCACAGTGTGCAGAGACTCCATGCCCACTCCCTGAGCATCTTCGGCACGCCGTGTAGCTGGGGGGGCAAGACCGGGGAACGGGCAGTGGCTGGCCCCAGGCCTGGGAGGGGCGGGTGGGAGGCACCCCTGAGACCTGGGGCTGTGCTGCCACGGTCTCCCCTCTTGGCGACCCCAGTCCCTCCCCATGGCCAGCCCAACACCAACCAGGAGACTGAAGAGGGCACAGGCCCCGCCGGGCTGCGGTTTCATTTCTGCTGTGTGACCTCAGGCCACGGTGGCCCCCTTTCTCATCAGCCGGGGGGGGGCATGGCCTTGGTCTGGCCGGCTGCTCCTTAACCCGCCTCAGCGCGGCCGGGGCACTGGTGTGCCTGCTGGAATACCCCCGCGGGAAGCGACAAAAGGGCTCTACCATGGAGCGGTGGTGAGTGGCGGGGCGGGGGAGAGGGCTGCAGCCCTGCCTCACTCTGGGCTCCCTACCCACCCACTGGTACTCCTGGGGAAACCGAGGCTGGCGCCTGCCCCGCAAACCTCCAAGAAGGAGGCCTCAGCCTACCGCCTACCTCCTGCCCACAGTGGACAGAAGTACGTGACCGCCGTGGTGAAGCTGCTGGGGCCACTCACCAGGAACTACTACGTTCGGGCTGTCCTGCACCTCCTGTGAGTCCTGCCCTCTCCGGGTCCGCGGCCCGCGCCCTCCCTTCCGCTGTCCCGCTGCCTCCTTGCTGGAGGCTTTTCCGACTGAAAGCCCAGGGGTCCCCATGGCGCCCACTGTCCTGTGCACAGCAGCATGCCTGGCAGGGTCCTGGGGTGGCCAGGCTCCCTGGGGGCATCCTGCCTGTGTCACATAGAGGCTGTAGGAGGCTTCCCGGCTCACGTCTGGGCCGAGGCCAGGAACCCCGTGTGGGGCTGCTCATGGCTGCTGGGACTTCCTGTGGATGTGGAAGCCAGGCCGACAGCAGGTGCCCGGCGCTAGGAAGGTATAAATTGAGGCAGAGGCCAGCCCAAGGGGCCAGACCTTAGGCAGAGCTGAGCATCCTGGGCTGGATCGGCCTCGTCTTGGGATCCTGTGGCCTGGCCCCTTGCTTTTGTTTTTGTTTTTTGAGTCGGGGTCTCACTGTCTTGCCCAGGCTAGAGTGCAGGGGCACGCTCACTGCCACCATAGCCTCAATCTCCTAGGCCCAGGCAATCTCCCCACTTAAGCCTCCCAAGTACTGAGACTGCAGGTGTGCACCACCACGCCTGGCAAATTTTCTGAGTTTTTTTAACACACCAGGTCTTGCCACGTTACCCAGGCTGGTTGAATTCCTGGACTCAGACAGTCCTCCTGCCTCAGCCTCCCAAAGTGCTGGGATTGCAGGCCTGAGCCACTGTGCTCAGCCCTGCCCCACTTTCTGACTGCTATCCTGTTCCCCCATCCCAGGCTGTCAGTGCCCGCCGGCTTCCTGCTGGCCACCATCTTGGGGACCGCCTGCCTGGCCATCGCGAGCGGCATCTACCTGCTGGTGAGTGGCATCCTCTGTGGCCAGCCAACTGCCCCCTCCGCAGCCAGGTCCCCGACCCACCGGGCTCTGCGGGACATGAGCCCGGCCTTGTTCCCACCTGGGGACCAGCAGCTACATCTGTGTGCCGGCCACCCCCTCCAGGGGCACGTGTCATCTGCACAACAGCCCCGTGAGGTGCCTCGCAGGGCCCATCTTTCAGAAGTTCAGAGAGGTTCTGGCTGGCCCAGGATTACACAGCCAGCTAGGCCCAGCCCGAGTTAGGACCCAGGTATCAGACTTTTCCCCCTCAAGCCCATTGGCTGCAGTCCGGGGCAGTGCCAGGAGCACGTCCGGAGTTGCGATCCTGGGTCACAGCCCAGTGATCCCGCTTGCCCAGTGCTAGAGGCTGTGCCCGAGGACACCATCTTAGGCGGGCTGGGCTGGGTGGTGAGACCAGGCGCTCCTGCCTGGCTGGGGGCTCGGGGGGTACAGCCTCTGCCCCTGCCTGTTCAGTCTGTCACCCCAGAGCGCCTCCCTTCCCCCACGGGAGTCCCAGCGTGTCCTCTCCCTCTCATGTTCTCGTCTTCTGCGTGTGCACTAGGCGTCTACACAGGGTTTGTGCTTTGAGTCTCAGCAACCTGAGGACTTGTCCCTTGGCCCTGACTTCTTTTATGTATATTTTTTGAGTCTGGGTCTCAGTCACCCAGGCTGGAGTGCAGTGGCACTCTCATGGCCACCGCAGCCTTGATCTCCTGGGCTCAGGCGATCCTCCCGCCTCAGCCTCCCGAGTAGCTGGGACTACAGGCACACACCACCATGCCTGGCTAATGTTTTTCTATTTTTTGTAGAGGCGAGGTCTCGCTATGTTGCCCAGGCTGGTCTCGAACTCCTGGGCCCAAGCAATCCTCCTCTTATGGCCTCCCAAAGTGCTAGGATGACAGGCGTGAGCCATTGCGCCCAGTCAACCCTCACTTTTGGAATCTCCCGTTGCCTCTGGTGGCCTTGGAGAGCCGGGGGTGCCTTCCGGGGCCACCCACGGGCCCCAGCACCCTCTGCCACTCACAGTCGGTTCCCACAGACCTGAGTGAGAAGTCCTTGGGCCACCCAGAGCGGACTTGCCGGGTGAGGCATCAGCCTGGGCACCCCGAGTCAGTCTTCCCTACGGACTCGCCACCAGGCCCGCTGCCCACCGTTCCTGCCGGGTCAGTGGCACCGGCTGGGGGTGCAGGGCTGGGACGTGTGCGTCTCCCTCCACTCGGTCCCGACTTGTGCTCTCACTACCCAGGGCGCCTCTCCGGAAGCGGCCCGGTCAGATCCTTCCTGTGTTTCTCCTGGGGTTTTGTCTTTTTCTTTCCTTTATTTTTTAAGTTGGAGTCTCACTCTGTCACCCAGGCTGGAGTGCAGTGGCACGCTCACAGCTACCGCAGCCTCAGTGTGCGGGGCTCAGGTGAGCCTTCTGCCTCAGCCTTCCAAGTGGCTGGAAGCACAGGTGTGTACCACCTCACCTGGCTAATTTTTTGACTTATTGTAAAGATGAGTTCTCGCCAAGTTGCCCAGGCTGGTCTAGAACCCCTGGGTTCACACAATCCTCTCGCCTCCACCTCCCAAAGTGCTGGGATTACAGGGGTGAGCCACCACGCCTGGCCTCCCTTTTTAAAATAGGGTCTCACTCTGTTGCCCAGGCTGGAGTGCAGTGGCACGATCATGGCTCACACAGCCTCTACCTGCTGGGCTCCTGAGTAGCTGGGAGGGACTGCAGATGCCAGCATTCCCTGGCTAATTTCATTGTTTTTTGTAGAGATGAGGTGTGGATATGTTGCCTAGGCTGGTCTTGAACTCTTGGCCTCAAGTGATCCTCCCACCCAGAGTGCTGGGAGGACAGGCGTACACCACTGCACCCGGCCTCTTTTTCTCCTTCGGTTGCAGGAATCCCATGTTTATTTAACTGCTCCTTTGTTTCAGACATTGTATGTACCTTCTTTCCTTCTGAGGGTCTGTTAACTTTGTCCCTGTCATTGAACTAAAGAACAGAAGTGTGTCCGTCCGTCTGTCTACTTGTCTTATGGTTTGTGGTTTTTAAAGCCTCCCCTCCCCTCCCCACTTCCCCACACGGGGCAGATGCTGACTTTCCCGTATTCTGTTCCGTCAACTCGATGGTTTCACCGTTCAGGACTGAACTTGGGTTTTTTTTTTTGTTTTTTGTTTTTTTGTGTGTGAGTTGGAGTCTCACTCTGTCACCCAGACTGGAGTGTAGTGGCCGCTCCCCGCCACCGCAGCCTCGCCTACTGGGCTCCGGCGATCCTTCCGCCTCA